TTTTCTTTTTTGAGATGGAGTCTTGCTCTGTTGGCCAGGCTGAAGTGCAGTGGCATCTCAGCTCACCACAACCTCCACCTCCAGGGTTCAAGCAGTTCTCCTGCTTCAGCCTCTCAAGTACCTGCGATTACAGGCAGGTGCCACCATGCCCAGCTAATTTTGTATTTTTAGTAGAGATGGGGTTTCTCCATGTTGGTCAGGCTGGTCTCAAACTCCCAACCTCAGGTGATCCGCCTGCTCAGACTCCCAAAGTGCTGGGATTATAGGTATAAGCCACTGTGCCCAGCGTGAAGTTTTTCTTATATATATTACATTTATAAGTTTGTCTTCCAGTACAAACTTTCTTTTGTTCAGTGAATACTATCATACCTGCTGATAAAACTATTACATTGATATCCATGCTTTGTGAAATTTTTTTGTAGGTGACTAATATTTTACTGAAAATTCCTTTCCTCACAAAGGCATTTCCTGTGATGCGTTCCTACATAATTTTCTTTTCTTTTTTTTTTTTTTGAGACAGTCTTGCTTTGTCACCCAGGCTGGAGTGCATGGTGTGATCTCGGCTCACTGCAACCTATGCCTTCCGGGTTCAAGCAATTCTCCTGCCTCAGCCTCCTGAGTAGCTGGGATTACAGGCACCCGCCACCACGCCTGGCTAATTTTCATATTTTTAGTAGAGATGGAGTTTCACCATGTAGGTCAGGCTGGTCTCCAACTCCTGACCTCAAGCAAGACACCAGCCTCAGCCTCCCAAAGCGCTGGGATTACGGGCATGAGTCACCACGCCAGCCCCTACATAATGACTTCTAAGTTGTGCTACTCTTCTCTCACCAATACAAGATTGCTCGCACAAGGGGCATTAGGGAAGGTTCTCACTGTGTCTCTCTGTAACAGGCTCCAAAGTACTGCTTCTTCAGGAATTCTCTGCTCTGAAATCACTCACTTGGTCTCAGTTTTCATACCCAAATCTGAAACAAACAAAAAATACAAGGGCCTGTTCTTCTCTGTGTTCATTCATTTAAGTCCTTACCTTTCCAGATCATAAAGAACACAGAATAAAATGAATAAAAATCCCTTCCCTTGTGAGGCTTACATTTCAGTAGGGGAGATGGATAATAAATTTGTTTGAAAGTATAGAGTATATACTATGAAGAAAAATAAAGTAAGATGGGATATAAAACACCAATAGGTATGCATCATAGTTTTAAATAGGGTAACAGGAAACAGCTTATTAAAAAGATGTCATAGAAGGTGAAAGAAGGAAACAGCCATCTGGATATCTGAACATAAAGCCCTGCAAGCAGAGGGAACAGCAAATGTGAAAGTTCTGTGGCAAGAGTGGCTTGGTGTGTTTAAGAATAACAAAGAGGCCAGTGTGGCTAGAGTAAAGTGAATGAAAATAGAGCAATAGGAGATTAGACTCAAGAGGTCATGAAGGGCCACACTATGTGGGGCCTTGTAGGTCACTGTAAGGACTTTGGCTTTTACTATGAGTGAGATGAAAAGCTACTGGAAGACTCCGAGTAGGCGCAGCATGATTTAACAAACAATTAAAAAGGATTGCTCTGGCTACTGTCTTGAAAATAGGCTGTATGAACAATGTGGGTGATTGAGAGAGACAAGGATGAAAACAAAGAGATAAGTTAGGCAACACTCTAGCAGAGATATGGTGGCAGCTTTGTTTAGGGTGAAAATGGTGGTAAATGGTTTGATTCTAGAAAAAACGAAGTAAAGCCAACAGGATTTGCTGATGGCTTAGATATTTTTAATTTTGGTTTCCACACATTCATTGTTCAGTGAGCAATTTAAGATTGTGAAATTGTAAGGAAATGATCAATGATGGAAACAGGCTTATCAGAGAAGATGGACAGCGAACAAGAATATTAGAAAGTGGTTCCTGAGATCTCAAATCTCCAGTTCCCCAGTAGGAAGCCAATGTTCTGAAGGATCCACTGTGTTCAGCTAATGCAGTTCTACTCCAGGATCTGAATAGAAAAGGTAAAAGTCACATGAAAAAAAGGTCCAGTCTCAATCCATAAACTTAGCATGGATCCACATCCACTTTGTTTCTTCCAAATTTCCCAAACAGAAGATGTAAGTCAGGCTGTGTTTTATTTACAAAATGAAGGTACACCAGGAATTACTGTTAATTTTGTTAAGTATGATAGTGGCATTTTGGTTATGTAAGAAATTGTCTGTGGTTTTTAAAAATGCATAAGGAAATATGCAGGAATGAAACTTCATGATGTCTCAGTTTTATTTAAAATATCAAAAGAATAAAATGAAGAAAAAAGGGACAAATAAAGCAAATGTGGCAAAATTTTGATAGTTGTTAAACCTGAACAATGAGCATATAGGAGACCGTTTTACTAGTCTAATTTTGTGTCTGTTTTAAATTTGTCATAATTGAATGAACATTATGTTTTAACAATTTAAATATTTCTGAGAGAATATTAAAATGAATTTGATTGGCTTTATGGTCTGAGATAAAAATTAAAACTTTCCCAAACCATAAAAGGTATAGATTTAAGTGTCTTGAGTTCCCTCAAACTCATTTCCTTAAATCATATTATCCTATGATTATCTTTCTATCTCCTTCATATCCTTTGCCATACAACTTTTATGCATTTATTTACTTTCAGAGACAGGGTCTTGCTCTGTCACCCAGGCTGGAGTGCAGTGGCATAATCATCACTCATCCCCTACTGTGGTGCAGCACACTTCCTATGGTGCCTGTGCCCCTGCTAAGCTGCAGGAGTTAAGCAAGTAATGTTGGCAGTCGTGCACAGACTTGGTGCAAGTCATTCAGGAGAAGAACTGCTGCGCGACCTGGTCCTGCCCGAGTGTTCCAGTTCATAGAGTACCTGCTGCAGTTGGTGGAAGTATAAAGCCTTTTCTGTTTGATAAGAGAACTGGCCAAGATACCCGGCTTGGTGGGGGACACCAGCCGACCAAAGCCCATATATGGACTTGGCAATCCACTGGTACCTGCAGCCGGATCCAGGCAAGGCTGCATAGACAGCTATGAAAGCTGGTCAGTGAAAGGGAAGCCTGTTTTTGCACCTTGGCATCAGCTGCTTGGCTCTCTACTTATACAGTGTGTATGTCTGTTGCATGCCTGAGGACATTCTTGGGGTAGATATTTTGCATGGCTTGGCGGCTGTGCCGTCTACCATGGACTTGATGGACTATTTGAAAAGGGGGCTGGGTGCGGTGGCTCACGCTTGTAATCCCAGCACTTTGGGAGGCCGAGGCGGGTGGATCACGAGGTCAAGAGATCGAGACCATCCTGGTCAACATGGTGAAACCCCGTCTCTACTAAAA